TAGAATCATGTGATCGACATTTCTATACCATACAAGGTGCGATCTACACTGTCCATTTTAGGCAAAATCCCTGACTGTAATACTGAAAAAAAAAAAAAAAGTAATATATATATATACCGATCAATTTTTTATTAATTAGAATTTAAGTTTGTAACTATATATGACAACTATAGCAAATATAAATAAAAATTTTAATAAATAAAATAAATAAATAAATAATCTCAAAGTTATATGTGGCTCTATCAAATGCACCAATATTATAACAAAGAATTAATAATAATAAAGAATATGCAATATGCAATAATTAAACAAAAATATACATTATACATAATTATTAAAACTTAACAATGATTCAAGATATTTCGAAATATCTTTTTAATGATCTTTTAAATTTGACCTTTTTAAACACAAAACAAGATCTTTTGGAATTAATCTTTTGAAACACATTTAAAACATCTTTTCAAAGTTCTTTTAATTTTTTAATATCTTTTTTTAATACCTTTTTTAAAATGCCTTGATGAGTATTAGTAGACTATCACTTATAAATAAAATACTATTAAACCCTTACTTGCTATTACAATAAATCTAAAATAAATATATTTAAGTATTTATTAGTATTATTTTTCCAAGTTTTTTTTTTTATCATTGATCCCAATAAAAAACTACTATAATTATCCTTTTACTTACAAATATCTAGAAAATAAATATTTACAAGACTAGAATACAGATCAAAATAATTAAGAGTTTGTATTTATTCATGATTACCTTGCTGCAACTAAAGTAAGAAGTTTGTTAGAAAACAAAATCATTTAAAATGGAGAAGATAATATCAATAATTTGTTATCTGATAATACTGATTATAAGATAATTCAAAAAATTCTAGATATTAAGTATATCTTGTATTATCTTTGATAATTCTAATAGAACAATTAGTCGTTGTAATTCAACAACTACTTTATTACTATTATTTTAACTAATCATAACCTGGAAAATAGAAATAACTTAAAGAATGTTTGAATTTAAAAGAGTTAGGAGTTTGTCAAAGTCATTTTAATTTTAATCAGAACAAACTTTACATGCCTAGTTCTAAAGTATTAAGAAAATTTACTAAAAATAAAATTCATATGAAAAAATACCTACTTTGTAATAAATACAAAAAGTTTTTTAGTAAAGGTAACAATTGTCAAGAACATTATTGGAATATATATAGGAAAGATATTCAAGTACCATGTCTTGGTCTAAAAACATGTTCTGCTTTTTAAAAAATTAATAATATCTCTTTGAAATTTACACTCAATAAGAGTGTTCAGTTTATCTGCACAAAGTGTTTTGAAAACAATAGTAGATATCTTTATATACATCCTGGAATAAGAAAGAAGCCATAAACATGTATTAAAAATAAATTGCATTTAGAAGACACTAATTACAGTTTGAGACTTTTTTCAAATTGGCTATTAAATCTCTTATATTCTCAAAATGAATCGAAAAAGAAAAAAGTATTATTCTATATGATGAAATTATTAGAAGTTCCAGGATTAAGTTCATTATCTTCTGCAGATAATATGTTATCATCTTCAAACATAAAATATAATTCATCTAGCTTATTACTTGTAAAAATTGCTATGAAAATTAATAAAATTAATAATTATTTATCAAAGAATAAAAAATATATTAAAATAGAAGAAAACAAACAATTTGGTAAAATGTTAGAGAAGTCAATATGTGATTCACATAAGAATATTAAGAAAAACTATAGTAGTTAGAAAATTCATCTACACTAGATAAATACTACAACAGTTTTTTACTTGCTCTTATTAGCTTTTTTGATAAATTAATTAAATCTATTAAAAAATGAAAATATATAATTAGAGAAAAAAAAAATAGGCAACATGGTAAAAAAGAATCAGAATTTAATATAGAAGCTATAAAAAAAATTACATTATTTCTTGTATTAATTATTCTTACTATAGTATTTTACTCATAGAAGATATAGCTTATCTACACTATAGTTTTTTTGTATAAAAAGCCCAAATTAATATCATTTTTAGAGGCAATACTGCATACAGTACATATTACATCTCATATATGGAAGCATAAAACAAGACTAGAAAAGGAACATATTAAAAAATCTAATCTCTTAACAAGATTAATAAAGGATTCAAATATATGGAATATCATAGTAATTGATAATATCAATTTTAAAGATATCATTTTTAAGTATAGAAATATATACGATATTATACAACAATCTGTGCATGCCATTTTATGAATAGTGTTTCAATTTGAACTTTCTTTTAATCTTTTATCTTTTGATCAAGAAAGTCCAAATCTTCAAGAAAATTTATTTGATTAATCAGAATTTATATCTAAATAGAATAAAATATTTAACCAAATAATAGAACAATTATTAAATAAGTATAAAAATAATTTTGAAGTTAAAGAAATTAATGAAGAAATCTTCAATAATATTGAATCAGGATATCAAATAAAACTACCAAATATTGTTATATTAGAATTTAGATCAGTGTTTAATAGCAATGAAGCCATATTTAAATCAATTAATATGTATTTAAAAGACTTTGAACAAAACATTATTGATTTAGCATATGATGCAGCTATTTTTACAAAAACTAAATCATATAAAAATGAAAACTTAGCCTATAGATTTATTTTTAGATAATGTATATGTCAAAGGCTATATTAAGTACTTTAATTTTGGCATTTAGTAGATATGAGATTTATAGTATAGTAGCAAAATTAGGTGTTCAATTTTTTGATAAGCTGGAGCAAAATGTAGACTACTATGCAACTTGTAAAGTATTGGAATTAATATATACTGCTATAAGAATAGCAATTCATCTTTATTTAAATAGTAATAATATACTATTAGATATAGAAGCTATATTTAGAAGAAATAATCTTCTTTTAAAAATGTGGTTTTTATATTATCATTTAGCTGGTTACTAGAAAAGGCATCATATAGAAATTTGCTTGGGTAATATAGATATGCAATTAAAAAATTTGGCAGTGTTTGTGCTACTATTTCCTGCTTCTAGTAAAAATATTTATACATTATCAGTAGTAACTTTTTTAGAATCTATATCATGCTACTCACAATAATATAAACTACTAAAACATGTTATTTCTATAAATATTACTCAAGAAAATCATTACCTGGCTTTAGATAAAATATTAAAACAATATGGTATTAAATTTGTTAAACAAAATTTAATATCTGGCTTATTAGATTCAAAAATTCTAAAGCAAAGAATGATAGCAATTCAAGATGAATATGAAAGATTGTTGTTACTTTTTAATAAATTTGTAAGAGACAATATAGTTAATATAGGAGATCATGCAATTAAACAATATACAGAACCATTGAGACAACTTGTAAAAAAACTTACTAGTATATTTAATAATTCTGATTCTACACAATATAATCTTTTCAAGTATATACAAGAATTAACACCAGCTGATTATACATGAATATTTAATTTTTATCAAAAAGATCTTATTTGATTAAATACTATATTGCATGAGAAAGTTTATTAAACTAAAAAAATTATAAAAGAAAGGTAAACAAAAGATCTTATTAATGTTTCTGCTAAAGAGTATATATATATATATATTTTTTTTTTGGTTCCTTAATAGTTTTGCTAGTGTCTATTGGAATTTCTTGTTTTATCTAATTTCAACTATTTCTAGTCTAATATTGGTTACTCATTTTAAAAGAGACCTAACATTTTCTGGCTTGTTATATTAACTGCCTAGCAATGACCTATTGTACTGACTACCAGAGCAGGAACAGTGATTTTTTGTGTTTAACATAATACTACAAAATTCACAGAATTGTGACTAAATTACAGAATATTGTTATATTACTACAGAATCTTACATAATTTAAGAATTTTGAGAAATTTGCACATAATTCGTGATTTTATTTGCAGTACTACCATTGTATTACAAAAAAAAAATACGATTTTTCGTTATAATGATAAAGATGAAATTGATCCAAGGCCCACTAGCTTAAAAAGTAAACTAATGGAATTTATAGTTGTGTATAAAAAAAAATAATAATACCAAAATTAGTAAGACTATATGTAAAAAAATAAAGTTGCTTTATATAGTCTTTAAACTCACGTGAAAAAGAATAGTTTAAATTTCTAAGCCTCGATTACAATGAATTCTTTAATTCTTTTTAAAATTTATAGATGAAATAGAAATTAGTAAAAGATTTTGTAAAAGATATATAAATGTTATCAATAAAGTTTTCTTACCTTTGGGTTATTAATAACTTATTTTTTTACTGTTAACAATGTCTAAAAAAAAGCGAATTGCAATAGATACCCAGCTTAAAGAACATCCAAACACTTTTCGTATTGATGATAATGTTTTAGTATGTGAATATTGTAATGAAGCTATTGAATGGAAATCAAAATCAACAGTTGATAATCATTGTCTTAGTAATAAATATAAATCGAATAAAGCAGAATATGAAGCTCAAAAAGATATTAAATGACAAGTATCTATTCATGATAGTCTAAATGTAGCTGAAATAAAAAATGAAATCATTGAGGATTTAATTCAAGCATTTGTGATTGCAGATATTCTACTTGAAAAAGTAGATCGTTTGCTTCCATTTTTTAAAAAATATCTTAAACAAGGAGATGGAATACCCTAATCTTCAACATTAAGACATATATATTTACCTCATATTTTTGACAAGCATCAAAATGATCTCAAATTAATTTTTAATAACAAACTTGTTTCTATTATTATGGATGAGACAACTGATAGTTGTGCTCGAAGTGTTGTTAATACCCTTTTTGTATATCGTAATTTTACGAAACTGGTTTCTGTTAATTTTTTTAATATCATCAATAATACTACAATTGGTCAAACTTTAATCACTATACTTTCTAGTTATAATATTTCCTTTAATATTCCATGTTTTTTTCTGTTAGATTCAGCAGCGTACATGAAAAAATGTTATAGAGATGTATTAACACCATTAATACCTCAACTTATTTATGTACCTTGTTGCGCACATATTCTTAATTTAATCAGGTAAAATATTTAAATTATTCTTTAATATTTATTTTATTTATTAATTTATATTTAACTTCAATTTAGGGATACATGGAGAACTTTTCCAGGCTTTTCTCATTTAACAACCTTTTTAGTAAAAGTAAAAGATATATTTGTCAAATTACCAGCTTGACAAGGTCGATATTTAACTCACTTAAAAATAAATGGGGTTATGAATTCATGCAAAATTCCACTTCCAAATGCAACTCGATGGAACTCCTGGTTCTGAATGATTTTTTATTTAAAAACCTATATTGAATACTGGCCTGAATTTTTTTTACAAGAATCGACAGCAGATCCGACACATGAAAATTTATTTGAAATTAATTCTTGGTTACAAAATGAAGAAATATTCGGAACTATTAAGATTTTTATTAATTTTATTTCTATTTTTGCAAAAGAATTTGTTCAGGATCTGAATTTTTTTCAACAGCAAAATCAAGCAATTTTTTCTTTTGTAGAAGGTCGATTAGAACAACTTACTGCATACATTGAAACAAACCACCATGCTTAACATTTTGGTTCTGATTTAGAAAACTATATTATTAACCATAGATTCGATCCATTAGATTTTTATTCTATTTTTTATGATGCCTTTTAAGCAGCATATAAAAAATTTTCCAACCATATACCTCATCATCCAGCTCGCAATATTTTTCAAGCCTGCCATGTTTTTGATCCCGCTTATTTACATACTAATGATATTTTGAGAAAAGATATTCACCGTTATTCTGCAATTAAAGAATTTGAAAATCCATCTGATGATTTAATCCGTGAATGGTCAATCTATTGTAATCTCATAGGAAGACATTCGTTTGATTGGTTAATTTTCGTAGATTTACCCGTAATTACCCATGATAATTAACCAATTAAATTACTGAATTACATTATTAATATTATATAGAAAACAAAAGAATACTGAGATACGTATAGTCGACTCTGGATATAACGAACCTTTTTATAACGAACACATTATATAATGAACTTTTTTTTTCAAATTTAATATAAGTTCGGTATATAAAATATAGTAAATTACTATATAACAAACTTTTAAAAAATTTTTACTATAAGACTCGTCAGTTCGTTATAAACAGAGTTGACTGTATATATATATATACTATATATACGGCTTTTACATCATTATTGCATGAACGGACAACGAATACCATAAAAAATGGCAACAAAAGCCTTCAAATTTTAAAATCCCATTTGAATAAAGTAACTTGAATAAAGGTTAGAGTTTGGATCCGAGTTTATTTTTAATATATTAAAACGGGCTTTAATCAGTTTTAACATATGCGGGTTCTCGCCGAATTTTATGGTGTTTAACCTACAGAATTGAACCCTATTATAGATAGAATTCCCCAGTTCTTATCTGTTGTTTATACTTACTTCTACAACTATTTTTTCGCGCTGATTGCTCAGATTTCAGATCCGTGTCTAATTTCTGGTTATTGCCCATTTACGTGAACAATAACATATACATATAATATATATTAAAATCGATAGCGATAGCATTAGATCAGTATACGTATTATACATAGTGATATAAGTCATTATTTGTAAAATTGACTCAAGTCGGCTAGTCAGCTTAATCAAACCGATTTTTACAAAGCCGACTTAGTCGATTGGGTAAATCATCACTCTAAAAATTTTGAATATTAACTGTCAAT